CCCATTCTTAGAAATGGGCAAAATGCAAAAAATTACAACAAAAATAATTTATCTCAAACTTGAAGTGCCACCAAAATAACACAAATTTCCAGCACAAAGACGGCTTGAGTTATCATGATCAGGTAATGGATATAAAATCAACTCCTCCGATTTTTGGAATTTCTATGAGCATTACTGTTTGTTGGAGTAAAAGGTAATTTTTCTTTTCTTTTCAAAGGACTCTGAGGAACTCTTTGGAAGAAGGAGCATTAACACTTGCCTTCCTGTGCACACATGTAGCTGATCTCCCTCCCAGATACAGTGGTCAAAGGGTGGGCAGCACACTTGTGCTACATAAACACTTTTTACAGATCTTACTGCCACAATTGGGGGCTGGGGTTATTTCTACTTATTTCCACTGGTAAAAAATAATCCAGTGCTTCAGTGCAACATGTTTCCAGAGCCAGAAAATTTGTAGAGATTTGAAAGCATCAAATTTCTTTGAAAGAAGGTGGTAAAAGAAGATTGTTTCAAAGCCAGGTATTTTATCAAAACACTCTGCTTCCTCCTACCTCTTCCCACCCTTCCATTTAGTTAAAAACAGGCATCATACCAAACTTCATCCACCATGGTTTCCTGTCCCTTCTCTGCAGCAGTGCCTTCTCAACTTATCAAAACTGGATAGAAAGGTGTTACGCTTAAACAGAACACGCTTCTAAGGAAGAAACAGCAATAAATCACTGCATACAAGGATAATGCATGGAAATGATTTATGCCAGGTTTCCAGGTTCTCAAGGTCTTGACTATCTTTTTGTTGCACCTATTTTCACCAGGAAGATTATCCTACAGTTCATGCCAATCTTTCTGTAATCTCCAATTAATCAGTTGATCGATTTTTTTTTTCCGTGTTCCACTATCTGGCACATCTTGACAGGCGGCAGAAAAGCCATTCTCTGGTCCAGAGGATGAACATATAGTTGTTTTATGTGAGTTGGAAAAATTTCAAAACCAAAACCTGCAAGTCCCTCATCCAAAAATGCATGATAGACTCACTGACAAGTGTGGTCAATGTCCTTGCAGACAAATCGGGAAACTGAATAGAACATATTCTGTGTCAGTTTTTGGGTGTTCAGATGTTTTTTAAAATATTTGGCTGCTGGGTAAATGGGGACAATCTACAGCAGGTTTTCTGAAACTGCAGTGCACATTTTCCAATTCTCCCAGAAAAATCAAAAATCACTTGCTGGCACAGCAACTGTTGTAGAGGTACAATAGGTGAATGGGGAATTCAAGGAAATAGCTAAAAATAAGCAAAACCTTCTCTTTATTCTGTAAAAGTCAGATTTTAGACCATCTTTCCTTTAAGAGATTGATTCTGCAGGCACAGTTGAACATGAGTGTTCAGTCCATGAAGAAGTAGCCACACAGGTTTAACTGAGAAAGTGGGAATAAATCTTGGTTTTCCTTTTTTCTTAAATTTTAACTGAGGCAAAGTTAAAGAAGGAAGACATTTCACATGTACCTAAGCCTGTCTATCACGGTACAAATTTCCAAGAAGCTGCACATTATGTACCCATTCTGTAAAGTCATTACAAATCACTGCATTTGCTCATGATGCATAACCTGAACAGCACAAATGCTCTCTGCAGATCCTGAAAATGTTCTTTTACTTTTTTTCTTTGATTAGTTTTCTCAGCTGACTTCCAGCTTTTTGCTTTTTGTCTCCTTAGGAGTCAGAACCAATCCCTTCAGTTTTTTACTGTTTGCTGGATAACAACCCTTCATTTGAAATGCATCCTATATTTCAGGTCCAGTGAATATCTTAACTTGTGTAAAATTAACTAAATATGCACAATGAAGTAACTGCCTGGACCAGCATGGCTCCCTAATCTATAGAACAATAAACAATTTTCTTTCAGATCACAGATTGACTGTATCAAGAGTAAGGGACCCTTTAATTTTTAGAAAGTGAAAGCTTTCTGCTGTTTGTCTTCTAACAAAAACGATGAAGTACCAAACCACACATATGCCTGAACATACCTGTTGCTACCATCACTGTTTCAAAAATATCTGCAAGCTGAAAAGCCGAGCTCAGAAAAATGAAACAAATAAACACCCTCCAGAGTTTATAGTAACAGCTGATCCTCACTGTAAAGAAGCAGATGGGACTCATGCAAGTAGTATCAGAAAATGGTTTACACATCTAAGCTATCACAAAGATATTGGATGTTCTAACAAGAGAGAAAATACTGTACTTTTAAAGGCAATTTTGTGCTCTAGAAAGTTAAAGCAGTATTTTTATAAACTCAATTCCTCATGTTATTTGTTATCTTTAGATGGGATAATTTTTCCAAGTACCAATAGCTCAATTAAATTCGTTCTAGCTTAAGATTTGTACCTATTGAATTATTACAAATTGTTTTTGTAGTGTAAATACAGGAGCAATTAACATACTGAGGATTAGTTGACACTAGTCCCTGTTTAACTAATACAAATGAATAGCAAAACTTCCACAAAAGGCTAAAAGTATAAAAAATATGCAGCTTTACAATAAAGAATATATCTTAATTTTCTTGGGGAAAACCCCTTTTATCACCAGAAATGTGGGAAAGTTATTCCTGAACGTCATTCTTACCTCATTAAATTATCAGAGTGCTACAAAAGAACGCCAAAGTGAGAAATTTTCCTGCTAAAGGTGTATCATAAAATATCACTGAGAAGGTGGCAATAAGAAATAGCTGTTTATTCCTGAAAAATCTGTGTTGATAAGGTAAAAGTTTACAAGATCACAAGGAAGTTGAAAAGGAGGAAGAGGATCAGTTGCTTTGTTTCTGCAAGACCTAGAGGGTATCCCACAAAGGCTAACAAAGGATGTGTTCATGAAAGGTCATAGACATGTAGGTTTTTTTTGCCAAAGAATACTAAAATTCTGCTGTTTCAGACAGAGATTTAATAAATCCACGGGAGACTATGAGAGTGTTAGAAGCTATGCCTTAGACAGACCCTAATCTGGAAAAAAAATGTGCACTGGTTCTCTAAAAATGCCTCACCTACTTGCTCTGTTTCTATTTTGCTCTGGGCACAACCACTGCAATGGAGAAAAACAGGAGTACAAACTGTTCAGTTTTGATCTTTGTGTAGTAATTAATGACTCAGTATCCTTTGTATCCTGCTTGACTGCCTAGAAGCAAAAAGCTTTTCCTTACAGACTCTCTGCGTCTTTCTTTTTTAACACCTGCATTCCACCTCTCAGGCACCTCACCACGCAGCAGCAGGAGCTGCTCTGCCATTGCCACACCCTCTCATAAAGTGGCACTGCTCTTAGGTCCCCAAGGCTCTCTCTCCTCAGGCTGGACAAGTCCAGATCACCCAGTCCCTTCTCACAGGTCTCCAGACACTGACATTGTGCCTCTCCAATGGACTTTTCACAGGTTATTGAAGTCTTTCCTGTACAAGGAAAGGGGACAAAACTCGACACAATTATTGAGTTGTGCCTTGTGATACAAAAAGCAATGGATGCAAAGGGGACGTCTTGGTAATGATTTCTTTGTTCAGGAAAAAAATATGTATGCTCTCTTCTTATTCAATCATCTTAAAACATTGCTAATAATGTAAGTTGCCCAGCTAAAAGATAGTAAAATAGTTCAGATCTCCTAAGCTCCTCTAAAGAGAACAAAGAAGTTTCATTGAAGATAAATTGGCCCCCATCAAAGTCAGCTAAAATATTGCTATTGGTTTGCAGAGATATCAGAACATGATTCTTCATAACTTCTTCTCAACAGCTGAAGAGTCAATTACCAAGATTTTCATTAAAAGCAATTCAATATTAAGTGCTACCCAGATATTCCCACTGTTGTCAGATATGACAAATGTTCGAACACACAGAGGAAAGGTAGAGAAGCCAACTATGTAGCTGGTGGTACACTATTAATGTTCTTTGGCTTTAACAGCACTGAGCAGAGTGAAAAACAACAGAAGCTTTAATTTTAATGCATTTCTGTAGAAAGCAAGCAAGTAATTTCTAACAATTGCTGATTGTCCTGGATGTAGCTGTAGAAACTTTGTTCCAAAGAGATTGTGAAGTACAAGACAAATCCTGAATCACATCAGTAAAGAGAAAGAATCTAAATGGAGAATACTTGAATACTAGAAGAATGATGAGGGGGGAAGAAGAAAAGCAGAGGGTTAATCTTCATATGCTGGAAGTATAACATGTAAGAATATATTGATCTGCAAGTTCTAAAAATTGGTGGAACAGATCTGTTATAGGGAAAAAACTTCAGTTTGTTTCAACAGAGATTTTAAAAATTCCCAATGGTAGATGTTGCAAGTAGCTGCACTTAAACCCTCTGAGCCACATAAAACAACAGAAAGGAAGTTTTAAAGAAGTTTCAAGTCAATATTTGACATTCCTATTTAAAAATTCAAGGAAAGTTCTATTCCACAGAATTCTTTAACACCCACCCCCCCATGCAGTCTAAGCAACGTAGGTCAGCAGTACAGTGGACTTAGCTGAAACTTAGATTTGTCCTTAAAGAAGGACAGAGGAATTGCTATTTCTTTTCAGTATTTTCACAGTATTCTGCAAATAAATTTCAAACTCTTTTCCCAGAAACAAAGGTAAAAGAAATATCTTGGTCTTCTCCCCATTTTTCTCTAAAGCATCATGGTTTTTTTCTCAGCTTTTCAAAAGAGGATCCACAGAATTACAGCAGTATTTCATTAGAGTCACATCAAACATCATCAACTTTTCCCCAAATAAACCACAATCAATCAATTAGACCACTTCAGTGGTAAAGATGTGTAAACAGCTGATTAATGTTTAATGTCAAACTCCTTACAAAGTAAGAGAGGCAATAAATAGTGCATAAAAACCAAAAAGCTCAAGGGAACAAAAGTCTTACTTTGTGGTTTACTGCTGAAATGAAGTTCTGTACAAGTGACTTGCTAACATAATGCCAGTGCAAAAGTACCTGTCCTTAGATGTAGAAAGAAACACGGAAAAATAAATATAGACATACCTGGTCCAATGCAGAATGATGCAATGATTGCAAGGATACAAAATATACTGAGGTAAGGAAGCCAATGCACAGTGTTCTGGATAGATAAAAGACAATCATTTAAGACATATTGTACATATCACAAATATTTTTTAAAACCCGCAGATAATAGATAATGTTTTCCATGATTCTTGATCTATTTCAGAATTTAGTCTGGGTTACTTTAGAAAATCACAGCATTTCTGTAGGGCCTTATTAGATGATTTGTATTTAAAGGCCTTGGTCTCTGTGAAATCCCCGTAGAGAAACACTAGACGAGCTATGTACCACAGAGTCAAAACTTCAAAAAATCACAACTTCTTGTGCTCAAGTTCTAGCTAGCCTGGAACACTGAACACATTCAGCACCTCCACCCACCTCAGGTATTTCAGTCATGTTTAAAAAGAGCATCTAGGATGGCCCACAGAGTTTCAAAGTTCACCAGACAAAGGCTTGGCTGAAGACTGTACATGACAGGCTGACATTTGGTAGGAGAACCACTTATCTGAACCTTGCTAAAGCATGGGAAAGCCACAGTCCAGGGCTTTTCAGCTGTAATCTGATTTTGCAGACAAGGAAGGCCATATATGCTATCTTTCTTCTACTTCTAAGTTGATTTTTCTCTACTGAGACCTCTAAATCTCAGGAACTTGAAATATAAAGAGCAATTCCTGTGGAGTTTGCAGGCTACTGTTTCTTAATCACATATGTGAATGCTTGATTCTAATACTAATAGTTGAGAAAAAACCATGGCTGCCCATTTCTTTCTCTCTCCAGCAGGCAGGGTTTTCCCACAGCAAAGTGTGAATGATATTTTAATTAGAATTTTGCTATTTTCAAAAAGTTTGCTAAGATACACGTAAGTATACTATCACTACTTTGAGTGGCAGTGTAAAAATACCGTTTTAAAGAAAGTAATTATTTTTTTCAGTGTTATGGAAAAGCCCCCATTTTCTGATGCTTTTTCTGTTCTAGTCTGGATTATTTCCCTAGTTACGTGGAAACCATGGTGTCCTGGACATTAACATTAACCAAAAGGGTTGTAGATCTATCAAAATTACACAATCTAGGATTCTTGTCTGGAAGTAAATCCAGGGTCTCTGGGAAAGAGAAGGTGCAAATATGGAGTATATATAAATTTTGCTGAGATTAAGCCTACTTGTATCGTGATCCTTTGCTCAAAGCAACTCTAATACTTAATACATTGAGATCCTCTTGAAAGGAGGTAAAACTGAAAGGCATTCAGACTTCAGGGATTTAAAATAGCTGAAGGTCCTCACACACCCAACTTGGCTTTAGAAGATCTGGAGGAGAATTTTCCACTCGTCATACAAAATATGCAATAACATCTCTCTTCAGGAGGAGAGCTGTCTTACAACTGTCCTGGCAGGTGTGTGAAGTAAAGCTTTATTGGGATGTATATACAGGTAAATCAAATAAAACTGCAATGGTGTGGCAAAGATCTGCCAGTCAACCTGACTTACTGACTCCCTTCAAACAAGAAACAAGATTTGGAAGTCAGATTAATGAATCAAAACCAGCAGGAGAACACCTTGATCAAACACCACCCAAACCCATGACATTGTAAATGTCAGTTTACAACAGTTAGGAACATAAACAAACCACATTATTACATAGATGGAAGCCAAACAATGAAAATTACTCGGAGCCAGAGTTTAAACTGGTTTAATAAATCCTCCTCTAATAATTCTTGTGGAATTGAGTGCTAATAACATCTGATAACTTAGAACCATATCATCACAGAAACATATTGATTGAAAGACACCTGTAAAGCTCATCTTTCCAATCCCCCTGCAATGAGCAGAATATCTTCAACTAAATCAGTTTGTTTGGGGCCCTGTCCAAGATAGTCTTGAATGTTTCCAGAGACGGGGCATCAACCATTTCTTTGGACAACCTGTTCAACACTTCACCACCCTCATTGCAAAACATTTCTTCCTTATATCTAATCTAAATTGACCCTGGTTTAGTTTAAAATTGTTACCTGTTGTCCTATCACAACAGGCCCTGGTAAAAAGTCTATTCCCATCTTTCTTCTGGGGCCACATGTTCTCCAAAGACTAAGTCTTTATATTGCCTATATAAATACCAGAAAAGTAGCTTGACAGAAACATCAAACGTGGAAAATTTTCACTAAAAAAATTCCTAACCTAGAATTGGAATGACATATAAAACATGAAAGAAATCTCAGAGAGAGTGAATTACAAGCAAAGAAACACCCATAGAATATGGATAAACTATTTATTCAGCTATGGGAAATATTGTCTTCATGATATGCATAAATATCATGATATGCATACAGCTTTGAACTAAGGAGTCTGAATGTGAGAATGTGAGAAAGTCCCTATAGGTTTTAAATGCAAAATCTTTGAAGCAAACAGATTCATAAATTAGTGTCAGTGACCCTTCACTCCTCATCAGCCAAACTGATTAAAAGCATTGGCTTATGCAGGAATGTCGAGACAAACCAGTATCAAGCATGTTTAAAATAGGTAAAGGAGAGAATAAAAATATATAGTGACCTGTAAAAATATGTAGTGTTACCTGTAAAGTCAGGGAGACAGTGAGAACTGCAAAGAAGATGGTCATCAACCCAAAACCCCCAATGAGGAGGGGTCTGCGTCCAAGCCGCTCAATAACCAAGCCCTGCAAAACAAAAGGTGGCATTTGGCTTTCTTGAGAAAACACTGGAGAACTTGGACCATGAAATATGTTCTCCTAGTAAATATGAAGATCTAAACTAAAACCATGAGGATCGATTTTCCACTGCTCATAAGCCATGCCGTTCATGATTGTGCTCACAATTCTATTTACAAAATTTAACATGTTTGAAAAAACAAGTTAGCATGGTATCCTAATCTGAGACCACTGAAAAAAAATTTTCATTGTTTGAATGCTTACAAATTTGCACTAAATTTCTATGACAATGTTCTTACAATACATAGTTTTAAAATGTCAGTATGTTGAAGCGAATTACAATCTCTTGCTTTTGCATTTTGACTGTTTCCTAATTTCAACAACTCTCTGAATTTAAGCTTAAAACATTTAAAGTTTAAGATTTCAATCTTTTTAGCATAAGTTACTTAAATTTATTAAGCCAAAATTTATTTTAAATTTCTTTTTTCCTCATATATAGAATAAGCGTTTAGTTGTTATTTTGGATAATCAGTGTAATTAGAATATCTAAGCAAAATATGCATGCAGCAGAAAACTTTGCTCAGACACTGATACTTATGCAGTTTACACCCATTGTGAATTTATATTTAACATCTGAATATAAGTCACAAAATCTGAATATTTATCTGCTAGAGAAAAACACAATGAAGAATTTCTTAAAAAGCTATAACTTGAAACTCTTTTAGTCTTACTCATTAAAATAAGCTAATATGTACTTTGTCATAACAGCTGATGTACTTTTCATCTTAGTAGCTACTATGCACTCAGCTTTCTTATGAGAAAAATAAAAGGATTTTATGAAGATTAAAATGTACCACTTCAAATAAGTTAAAGTGATAATCACAAAATTGTTTGCCCTATCATTATTTACTGGAGACTGAATGCCATCCTCTGCGCATCTTTTGAGGAAAAAATAAAATGGGCAACTAAAATGAAATTTGGAGTAATACCTTTAATTCTAGGAAACAACATACATCACTGGGAGCATCTAGAAGAAATGTGCTAAAGCAAAGTACAGAGACACCCATGGATGAAATGCCTTGAGAGGCAAGTGCTTCTCAGTCTGGGGCTCACCAGTAGATTTTAGGACAGGCTTGTCTATCCTAAACACTTGCTGATGTTGTACCCTGAGCTGAACTTCTCCACCAGAGGTATCTCTGTGATGCTGCAGATCACTGAAAGTAGCTCTGTGACAAGATTTTGCATTCTTTATTTCTTTAAACGGTGAAACATACCAATTTGGACAATTTCCACAGCTTTCATAACAGAATTGTGGAATTGTAAAAAGACCTGCACTGGTATTAATAAAGTCTTATGAGGTCCAAATGTTTCAAGACCGCAACTGCTTCACTGTCAAAACCTTTACAAGATGCAGCTATTTCCCATTATGATTAATGAATCCATCTTGCAAACACACGTGACTACACAAATACTGAACCAAGAGACAACTTTAATGGCTTTGAGGGCTAAAAACTTATTTGATATTGTAAAACTTCTGCAAGAGACTTCTGCAACAGATGTTTCACATGTAATTTGGATAATATGTTCAATAATAAATGCTGCACATGTAATGTGACATACTGTGCAATTTCTCTCATTGTTTTCATTGCTGGATTGATGGTCATGATCAAGCAATCGATGTTACACAGCTGGAGGGTTTTGTATTAAAACAGAGTCAGGGATGATGCCTGTCTTAGAGGGAAAAAGTTCATAGATGCCTCACATACAAAACATGGGGAAAATGTGTTATATAGTTTTCACCTGTAAAATTCAAAGCAAAACAAATTCCAGTAAGGAAGGAAAGGTTGGACTTGGTCTTCCATAACAAGTTTCCCTGGTGAAAGCAATGCTGGTTTTAAGGTTGTAAACAGACAACCTTAATTTTTTAGCTATGATTATACAAATCCAAAACTTGTTCGCTTGCAAAACCCACTAAGATGCTTATGACTCATAAGAGGTGGAAGATGATTCACCACTTTCCAAGTATTTATAGTTCTGAATGCTCCACTGCTATGCGCTGGTAACTTTTACCTATTGAAAATCTCTAGCAAGTCAAAATATACTGTGCAGTAGAATAAATGAAATAACAAGAAATCCAGTGTATGCTCAAGTACAGACAACAGAACATTACAAGTGTTTTCTGTGATAACACCTGAGTTATGTGCTGGGCTGTGTAGGCTGATACTTGTTTCTGAGTGATCATAAACATGCATTTGTAGAAATCTACACCCAGTCATGATGGTTAACACAGCTGAAATTATTGAAAACGTGTAAAAAATATTGCAACGAAAATTCTCTCAACATAAATGTTCCATGATAAAAAGGCAACTGATACACAAACTACATTAACAGTTCACACAACTTACTTCTGTCTGTCAGGAAACACTTGTGAATAAAGTTAAAGAAGCAAATGTCAACCTTTTTGCTTGAGTCAGCTGCAGATACTAGGGCTGACATAATGAAAGCAGAGTGTGATAAAATAGAACAGACAAGCTTCCTTGGATAAAATGAATGTGCAAACAAGTCCAAAGAGGAGGTTGCTGCATACTGTTCTTACTTATATCCTGGCCCTAAATTATACTAAGCAAACCCTATCAGATTTTCTTGATGTCTCAGCTCTGTGAAGAGGTTTGCTCTGTAAGTTAATGTCAAGAATAGCCACACTTTCTTTCTCATGTGTTTTGGTTAAAGGTCTGAGCGAGAGTCCGTGACTAGATTCAAACTTAACATGGCAAGTTAACACTGTGTTATTCCCATTTTAAATATCAGGATTAAAATGGATAACCTCATTTACATCACTTTATGACACAATGTGTAATATCTTGTACTCAGGAAAAGGAGAGGAACAGCAGACTGAGAATTATAAATTGGGTATTTTTGATTCATATTTTGATGTATATCCATTAGTCTACTGTATGAATTATTAATTTTAAAACAAAAAGAGGGGCTATTGTATCTAAGTACCTAAACTGGAATTTAGAGGCCTAGCATCAATTTTGACCACATAAGCACAAGCCTTAAATAAATATCTATTTGCAAGGCTCTTACATCCATTTTCCTATATATGTATTAAAGCCATGACAGGACAAGATCTTATACAACTTCTGCAGGTATCTGTTAAGTTTACTCTCAGTAAAGCATGGAATTGATTGCTATATTTCTAAGCTCAACCTGAAGCATTTTGCAGTAAGGCATGCTTAATCAGCTTCACTGGGCAGTGAAATTTTCTATTCACTAAAGATATTTTCCATACTCAATACCTGCCAAGACCAGCATAGCCAAGATGCAGCCCATGCAAGGACTTCTTTAGCCAGCCCCTTTTGCCTCAGCAGTGCTTGGCAATAGCCCCTAGGGCAGCACAAAAACACTCCTTTCCTTATTCCTATTCTGTCCCTTCAGTAAACTCAAGATATTTCTGAAGCAAAGCTCCTTCTAGTAATGATTTAGTTGTTAAAAGCATTAAGCTATCATGTTCATGCTATAAAAACCAGATCTCAACCTTGATCTCTGACAGCTTATTGTGGCTGGTGCCTTATTTTCTAATGATGATATTTGATTACCCCAATGCAGATCATTCTGAATAGACTGATAAAAGGATTGTTCAAACCCAATGCTTTCAATCCTCAGCAGCAGGAGATACATCTTTAAAACTTTCAATTTCTGAATATATCCTACAAAAGAATTTTTACTACATAAATGCAGCCTTTAGCAATGTACACCTTGGATCTTAGGAGTGGTGTTGAAAGGCACACCCTCATGAGGAGACTTTTTCTTCTGGAAGGCGCTACACAGTTACTTCAAATGCAGGCCTCATCTATTTAAAAGTCCATGTGTACTAAAACAATTAAAAAGCAATAATGTCTTCACCTAAAAGCAGTCCTGCTGATCACCTATGGGCTAAGGAAGTGTGCATTAACACAGCCTCTCTTTGCAGTCCACCCTGCAGAGAAAGTCTGCCCAAATGCCTCTGGTCTTTGGCAAACACCAGGATCTGAGATGCTGCTTGCTCAATCTCTTTTCTGCTCCTGTCTCTATCTGGGCAGCTACAGACCAAGATATCACCTTCAAATTCTGGTAATCCTTGAGCAACAACTTGTCAGGGTAAGGGGAGAAAGAGGGGGAAATGCCATGCTTGCTCCATTCTTGCCCTCTCTACTTATATCCTGCTGGGAATTTATGGGTATGTGAAGGCTGACTCTGACTTAGTGTGAACAGTGTCACAGGGGACTGCATTAAAAGTCTTACTAAAAGTCAGATTCTAACATAACTTCCTAGGAACGCTCTAGATTCTAATATTTGTCACTTCATTTTTTCACTTGCTAAGACTGGCTGTTACTAGAACATCTTTCTTTCTCTTCTGACCACAGAGGACCCAGAGTTTCAGAGGAGATATCTTGCATCATCCTGTGGAAAACATGAAGGAAATGTGTTGGAGATGAGAATACCCATGGAAGTGTCTGGAATACCCTTTATTAAGATGTGCCATGCCCTGAGCAGGGAATATTTCCTTCTATATTGACCTCTATTAACAGTAAAAAACCCAAAGAATGAGTCTAAGAGCCCCTTCTCATGATATCCTAAAGCATATTAAAATCATCTTGCTAAAGAAGGCTGTCTTCCCTGACTTCTGTGTGATACTGCAAAGGATTTCCCACATTCTTTTATGGTCTAGTACTGCAATTATTTTAACTTATTCCATGCTTCAGACAGCTTGTCTCTGTCACAGGCTTTTAGTAACACCTTCATGCATCATCCTATGGGAAATACTTAGGGTACAGTCTTCTCAATATAGTCACATCTAGACTCTTCCTGTGAACACTATAAGAAAACCAAATGTGGTGCCACAGATGGCAAAATTGGATGTGGGATGCTTAATTTGAATAACATTCCCTTTTATTCTATTCTGGCTTCATGGAAGAGGGAAGGAATCTTTTCAGACGTTTACTTCTGTCTCCCCTTTCCCTGCTAAAGAAAGGCACTGGAAAATTGTTCTCTTTGCCCACTAAGAGTAAGACAACAACTAAATTAACCTGAATTACTAAAAATTAGAAAATGGCAACAGTAATTAATCTTACTGAAGAATAACTAATTTTGTGGTATGCCCTTACTTTAGAAGTTGTAGAACAGACTTCTAATAAATAGGGAATTATTTAGGTATATTCCATCCTGCTTCAAAGAATTGCACCAGGTTAGGTAAATTACTGCTGTAACATGTCTATGAGTAGTAATTCTATTTAGTATTTTATTCCAGAGGATACAAAACTTCAGAAACAAACTCAAATTAATGGGCACCCCACTAAAAAGTAATTGTCTAGCCAGTCCTCTATATAAAATCTGTGTAAAGTACAATAGGTGGAATTCTCTATCATTAACAAAAAAATATACAGAAAGTTTATATTGTCTCCCTAGAGAGAAGCCAGGGCATCAGGTGTGCATACTACAGCACATATATTTCATGAAGTAAATTAAGATGTGCTGGTGGAAGCAGAAGTTGCAGCCAAATTAAGTTAATCAAAGAAAAATTATGGTGCATGTTTCATCTTTCAATGTCTTGTTAATATGGCTTTTGCCGGAGAGGAAGAGAGATGGAGGGTAGGCAAAGTATGCTACAAGTGGGTATATCAAGGGATCTAAGGCAGAGCTAAGAAAAGGATGGAAAATTAATTGTCTTTCCTCATGGACTATATCAACATTATTACTATTGTGCAGCTGCTCCCAAGAAACACATTGAAGAGAGACTTTCAAAATTTTTCATAGTTTCAGTATTTTATCTCCTAAACATTAGTTTGTTTCTCTGTGAAATATATCTCTATTTTACTGTTTTCCTTTGGCATTTGTAGGGGTCTCATTAATGGAGGTCATCAATACTCAAATATTCTTACTGAGGCTCAATCTCATGACCACCTAATTTATACATAATGACCACAGATGGTACATGATTTCTAGTGGACATTTCCAATTCTATTTCATTTAAAAGTACAGAAACTATACCTCTGTAACTGATTACCTCTACTAAAATCCTGGAGTTTATTGTCAGTAAAATCTGGTTTCTGCTTTCAAACACAATGTATAAAAAATACCAGGGAAATTAAATTCTTATCTTGCTTTCTTCTGTTTCTTCCCTGAGTAGTACAAAAGGCATGTACCTGACTTAGCATTTAAGGCTGTAAAAGATTTTTTAAAATGTCGAAAGGAGACATTGGGAGAGGTTGGGAGAGGGAGGAATCCCCTGTCCTCAATGCTAGGCATGAAAACTTGATGGGAGATTACTCAAATAGATAAGCTGCAAAACCTTAAACTGAAAAACTAAATTAATGTTGTTGTTCCTTTAAAAAACAGCAGCGAAACATTTAGGAAGATTAAGGAAATAAAATTCAGGCTAAAAAGCAGTGTGTCTTGAACTGAAAAATTGGAAGGGAACAGATATTGGTACATCAGCATTTCCAGAGGCACAGCAGGTAGCATTAACAGAAAAAGTATTAAAAAAAACCTCCTCTCGAGTACAAAAAGTTACCACACATATCAGGAGCCAAAGCACACCCATCCACCTCCATATGTATAAAGAGTGTGCTCTGAATAAGCCCCACAAACTGACAGCACAGAAGGAATTGAAAAGATAACAGACCCTATTTATAGAATGGCTTTAATATCATGGAATCATCTTGATGTAATTATCATCTGTTTTCACATAAAAGAGGTGTATTCTTCACTTAAATCTGTGGTAGAAATATCATTGTTATTTTTCCATATATCTTAAACAAAGGAGCATGTGTGCAGTATCACAAAGGAGAAAGTATAAGAGGTAGGCACTCTCATAATTTTCTATTTCTACCTATTAAAATGAATCATAAAATCAGTCTCTTTAATTAAAAAAAAAAAAAGTAGCCAAAAACAGATATGTGGAAATTCACAAAGAATTATCAGAAGAAGATATTTGTGACCCTGTAGAGTCCTTATATCCTAGACTATTAGAAAACATTTCTGATAGCTGTATTTAGTTTAACATTTTGTAGGTCACAAGCAGTTACTCTGCCACTGAAGAGGACTCTTTCCAAAACCATTCTTTTGACATTTAAAAATCTTTAAATTTAAAATCTGCTATGTTCAGTATTGTTCAAATACAGCTGGTACAGAATATATGAAGAAAAAATTCTAACAAAGAAAGGACTACCTCCTTGTTTGCAACTTTCCATTCCACAGACTTCTCCCACTGCTTCTTATCTATTGCAGTGCAAACATAAATGTAATTCCTTTGGCAATTAATTGTGTAATCACCTACAAAAACTTGAAGTTTTAGTTTACTCGTTTAGTGTATTTTTTCCCTCGGTCAACTTTTCCACTTTGAAATAGGAAAGAAAAAACTGTGCATGGATGAGCTTTTCTATTAACATCTGCCTCTACATTCAGAGCAGAACAAAGGCCTGCTCTGGAGCTCCTGTGTTAGGAAAGGAATCCTGTTTGTCCTGAGCAAGGCAGCAGAACTGAACACCACCTGGGACTCCCTTGTTCTAGCAGGCTGCCTTTACTGCTCCAGCTCCCTGGGCGGCTGCTCCTGCCAGCCACACTGAACACCTCTAGCTGTGCTTGAGCCTTCTCCAAACAATGCTGCTGCTGCCCAGCAGCACAAGGGAAGGCTCTGAGATGTGGATAAACTGCTACCAGGTGAGGTTGTTCTATCAGGTGAAATAATTTATGAGTTACTTTTGCTCTTGCTGTCTCTGCCTTCTTCCTCTTCATACACACAAAGAACTGCAGGACATACCAACTTTCTCTGTTCCTTTTATGGGTCTAAAATTAAAGAGCATCTTAAAAAATATTCCAAGAAAATAATTTGGTTTAAGATTAAAATTAGAAATAATATTTTGAATTGCATTACACTTAATCAACATACTATTCTTTTTCTATTTTAAGCTGTATAAGAAAATAAAATCTAATAATATTTAAATTTCAAGCATGCTAATGGATTTTTATAACCATACTTACAGAAAAAACGGCAGCCAGAGTCTCAACAGCACCAGTACTTAGTGTAACATAAGGGATTGTTTCACGATCGATCCCAGATTCACTAAAGATGTTGTTTGTGTAGTACCAGATCTGTAATAGAGAGAATAAAATGAGTTATTGATCATTATAGGTTGAACTATAATATATCAGTACTCGGTTCAACCATATAATCTGCTTGAGGTGAGACTTGTTAAAACTCTGAGCACTCCCAAATCACCGAGGGCCAAACAGGACAACAGATGTAGGGAAAGCTCAAATTCCAGGTGGATTAGGCACAATGCTGCTGTAGTTCCACTTGAAGACCCAGGCAGAATTACAAACAGCTTCAACTCAATTTAGCTTAATTCACTTTAGGAGTAAATCAAAGAAACTCACTTTAAGCTTGAACAACAGGATACAAATAGGTTTCGTGTGGCTTACCAAGCAGGTTTGTGTAGCTCTATGGAATACTTCAATAACATGTAACAACAGAGGAGAGAACAGGAAAGAGATGTTGTGAGGCACTGAAGAAGCTGCTCATTTTTGGACAGAAGATGTGAGGTGTTATTTCTGCTTTAACCTTACTGGAGCGTGGACATCTGCAGCCAAGCCAGTCTCTCTTTATTGTCCACAAAAAAGAAAAGATACTTTTAATATTAGAGTTGCCTGGGAAAAAGTAACATGCTGTTTTTAGGATGAAATTAATCATAGGCTTGAAGTAGCTGTCACTAATGGACAGAAATACAGGTTGTATGACTTAGAGGAAGTCAATCATGCTTAGTCAATAAAACCATATCTAACAGTGACAATATCCAGGCAGAGAATATATACTGGCAGCATTCTAAACTAGCAAGTCTGGTAAGCATCAGAGTCCCATTCACATCACTATGTTCAAAAACCATATATTTATGTTTGACTCAAGGTGACAGGAAAGAACTAGCCAGAGATATTGGCTGCCAAAAACATGCAAGAAGAGGAGACAAAAAGATAATTGAGTTGGTAGAATGAAATGAAAAATGGTTGAAATAACTGATTATAAAAAGAAGATAAAGTTCTAAACCACAGGTAATTTATCTGTGTCAACAAAACTCAAAGCCCTAGATAAGGATGGCACTAAACGTTAAAGTAGCAGCAATATTTTTTCCCATATGGTCTCAATGGTACAAGCCCTAACAGGGCAAACACTGCTAAATACAAGGCTTGTCTGATGGATGGAAGTGTTATGATTGCATGAGGAAAACCCTGCTACCTGCCAGCATATTATGCACTTGCTACATCTGTTTGTCAAGAAACTAACTCAGCAGTTTTGTTAAAAAAAAAAAAAAAGGTAATTCTAAATTCCCAACTAGCCCTTCAAAAAAGCTGCTTGTTCCAGGGCAAAGAAGAAAATCCAAGTCCTATTACATAAACTCCAAGTAAAAAAACACACCAAGGAGTAAAAAGTCACCATATCACCTTACAGATAAAAAGAAACTGACTGAAGACTTATGCCTATTGCTGGCACATCAGCTTTCACCAGAACAAATACAGTGACAAGAAATGATAGCAACAAACTTCTCTACATGAAGTAATCTGCCTTTGTGTAGCACATGCTGGAGTTAATGGTGCACTGCCCTGCTGACACAGAGCACAGACAAACAAAACCAAGGATCAGTTCCCAGTTCTCTCTGAGATGTTTATTCCCACTCACAACTTTGGGGGGACCCAGTACTCTGACAATGTACTCACTTCTCATATACAGTATATAAGCAGAACAAAGTAGCACAAAGTAGATTGATTTAATGCAGTAAAGTTAGAAAACATAATTCAGGCATTTCATCCTCAGTATCAGTTTTGTATAGCAGCTGGGTCTTCTAAAATGACAGAAATATTGCAGGTATGCACAATTCAAAAGAGAATAAGGAGGCCAAAGAGCCACTAAAGCAGTTAACTCGTGAATGAAATTTGCCAGAATGCAACAACAAGAACATAAGACATATTGCAGGTGGTTTCATCGAAGGCCATGACTGACCACTGATAGTAAGATTAAAAAACTGGCAGAGCAAAACCAAGATGAGATTCACAGGCTTATTACTCTCTGTAGCAGTACAAAAAAAATTAGGATAAAAATTAACACAGTTTTCAAGACAAAAGTCAAATTATTTTCAGCCTGTGTACCATTAAGGAGAGAAAAAACATAGGCAAATTTGCTGGCATACTTACTAGGCTAATGACCACTTTTCTAATTTCACTGAAGTTATTTTTCTAACATGTTTTTTGTTAGCTAATGATTTCATCAGCTAAGAAAATTAGCTAGTGGTTAGGCTAAACATTTTTAAATGAAAGAGCTGTGGAAAATGGTGCAGAAGGCTCAAAAACTAAATGGGCAACAGCAGAGACCCAGGCTGTGGCACACTGCATACTCACCCCTTCCTACACTGCCTGATGCTCTCCACACCAGCACACCATGACAGATATTTTGCATATTGAAAACATGCATTGTTCCACAGATCCATCCCAGAATAATTTCTCTGCACCCAAAATACAGCCTTAAGAACAGACCTTACAGAAGCCTAGGAATCTAACTTTGGGAATGACTCCCTTAGAGCAGTATGTCATGCAGTGTATTCCCTCATATAAGTAAGTGTAACCTTCACCAGTGAAAATTTCAGCATAGTTTTGTGACTTCTTTAGAGCTGAGATAAAGTGTTGGGGATAAATAAATTTATTATGGCTTATATGTATCAGATAAACGTTAACAGAGTAAAAAGGACTAATAAGAAATCATTTATTTATGTCAGTTTATGTCAAGCTGTCTGGTATTTTGTTATAATTGAAAATATTAGCATGATTGGAGTGTCACCATGATTTCTGTTCCATGTGGTAATAAACAAATGTACTGTTTTAAGCAAAGCACGTTTTTATTTGAAGTAAAATCCTTAAAAAGAAGCAAGTATTCTCAGGTACCAGCAGGATGATTACAGAAATCTGCCCGTTGCCAATTTCCCTGGAGAACGACCTGAGATTCTCGCCTGAAGGAATCCCAAATTTCCCATATGCCCTGCCCAGATGGTAGCTGTGGAAAAGACCAGACTGACTAACAGGGCACTACAGACAAAGTAAATGAATTGGAAGGAGCCTTCCCTGCCAGCAAAACCTGGCTGGTGCTGGCTCACACCCAGCAGGCTGGTTCAGATGCACTCAGGCAAACCCAGAGGGGTTCACCTGTGTCTGCCACACCTGGACCCGTCCTCTCATCTTGGAGCTTCAGGAGACTTGAACAGCATCAGCCAGGAAAGCCAAGAAAAAAGAGACAAGTTTTTGAAGCCTTGTCTCTTAATCAAATGCTCCAGCTATTTCTCTTGACCTCTTTTTTAATTTTCTTGGTTTTACTATTAACTGTTACTGAGAACTGTTTAAATAATCCATTTCAGAACACAATTTTTGTGTGAATACTTTTTTTTCATGTTTGGTGACATTGCATGAGAGGAGAAACAAAGTAATAATAAAAAAGGAAGGCTTGAAATAACCAACTCAAAACACAGGTTTCCTGAAAAATACTTTTTCTGAGGCATATTTTCAGAAAGTGGCCATCCAATGACATTTTTGAATAACTCTGGCATCCATTTTGGACTGGACATGTCTGACTATCCTACCATACCCTCACTTAAGCCATGAGACTGTGGCTTTTTCTCTGTTACAAAATACTGGACAATTTTTATCAACTATTAAGTATCCTCCAAGTCAAAACTCTTCCATTTCCCTTGAAAATTTAGCTGTGATTTTTTTTTAGGCAATGTGCTCCATTATTTGAACAGTCTGTTTATTGATATAAGTGTCTTTTTTTACCTTTATGTGTTGATAAACCTTAAAAAGACTGGATGACAAGATAATTCTGGGGTTTTTTTCCTCAAAAATGTATCCACAATGAGGAATAAAATAACCTGCCATTAGCACTGAAATCCTACCATTAGAAGAGAACACCACCTATTCAAGCATTATTACACTTTACCCCACAGGATGAAAAAACTCTTATAATTACCTCCCAGTATTTTACAAACAACTTTTAGATACCAGAGCTCCAATTGCTTTAATCTTTTAAATGGTCTTGGACAAATTACTTTGATTTGGAGTCTTAAAGCTATAGAGAACCTGAGATAAGCCTGAGCTAATGTTCATAGATACAAAAACACATAGACTTATTAGTCCTGGGGGGAAAATCTAGCTGGAGTATGCTGCAGAGCTCAGTGACAATTCCTTGCAGCAGCGAGACTATTGCTTTTCATATATATATAAGCAAGTAATGCCTTTGAACTATGACAAAAAACCCTTTTCCTTTGAGGTGCTTCATGAGAATATTGGTTTTTTGCAGCACAAAGCATCTAAGCCAGATGTCACAAGCTGCAGCAAGGATAGTTCTGGCTGGATATAAAGAAAACACTTTTCACAGTGTAAATGGTATAAAGACCTGGCAGAGGTTGCCTAGGAGGATTGTGGACTCTTCACCCTTGAATATGTTTAAAACTCAAGTGCACAAGGCCCTCAGTAGCCTGAGACAACCCTGAAGTCATTCCTGCTCTAAGTAAGGGCTTGGACCAGATGGAGGGATCTTCCAACCTAAACTGTCCTTCTCATATAGGCTCAGATAGATAGTGAAGGAGACTTCTGATATCCATTGGCCTCAGGCATATTAATGGGCAATAGGATTCGTTGTTTTATGTCTTTTCCCTCTTTTGCTTCACTTTCTAAGACAGGAATATTGAAGCAACCAAAAAATCAAATAGTGTGACCTTTTAAAATCACTTATAGGAACTTTTGCTGACTTCTGTAAGTGCTGAACTGAACAAATCCAAGATGAAATGTCTACTGAAAAAACCCTGAATAAGCAAGGGACATATCCAGAAACAGAGAATCTGAGTATCAGAAGTGAAAGCTGCATGCTCTTTCTTTGCTGATATCTTCTACCTTTCCATGTATTCCCTCAAAGTTAACACAACACTGCTTTCCTCAAACATTTTTGTTTTAAAAGCCCCCAAACAATATAGATCCCTGTGGATCTTCCCGCACGCTGCTCTCACAGAACCACTGCTAATAAGAAACAGCCAAAACAGGGAGCTCACGGAGGCTGGTAAATGGCATAACCCAAACTTTGCTGTAAAGGAAAGGAGCTGCCCAGGAGGTGAGAGGAGGGCACTCACAGCGTTCAGCCCGCAGAGCTGGTAGCAGCCCATGGTGACGATGACGGTGGCGATCTGCCACCGCACCGCGCGGGTCCGCAGCAGCTCGACCACCGACACCAGCTTGGTGTTCCTCTGCACCCGAGACTCTGCCAGAACTTCTTCTATTTCCTGAGACACGTCATCTTTCCCAAGGAACCTCTGAAACGCTGCAAAGAGAGGACATGTGCTTTAGGCCAGGCACTTGGCGCTGTGTGCATTTATAACTGTCTTGCTTCTTCAAAATGGAAATGTTTGGCACAAACAGGAGGCATACGTGGGCTGCAATGTAATTATTCTTCTACCAACAATATCATATTGCTCTGGATGTGACCTGGTTCGTCCCTGTTATTGGGGTCAGAAACTGAAACAAAACCATAAATTATTTGTCTCCCTACAAGGTCTTTCTAATGTTATTTCATATATAATACAACCTCTAGTGAAGTGTGTAAACCCTGTGTGACTTGAAAATGTTTATTATAAAGCATCTCTGAACATTATTTGACTTGGCTACTTTTGCAGCCTAACAGAATAGCTGGCTTCATTGCTGGAGATAGATTGGAAAAAGAAGTAATAAGATGTAAAAACGCATATAAGTCTGGTAAACCAAGAAAAGACAGACATTGGAAAGGAGTAGCCACTACTCTTCATATTACCTCTTGTTTTTACTAGTGTATAGGCAAGAATTCACTTTGTCAAAGTGATTAATATTAGAAATAATTACCCAGAGCAGTTCAAGACTTTATATTTGTCAATGGGAACAAATTTACATGGTCAATGTAAGCAACCAACCAACCTCATCTCCTCAGAAAGACACCATTTAACATTGCACACTGACAGCTCACTGAAATATCCTTCCATTGTGATTAATACAGGCTTGCCACCTCACACCTCCTCCGAGATACCTCTGACTGGACATGATGTGTCTCCACAACCTTGTTTGACAGATACTGCCTATGCAGGTGATACTTTTGTCCCAATCTAATGAAAAAACCCCAGGGGTTGGCATTTTAAAAGCTGTTTAAAATGCTCATCATTTCAGAGTGACTGCAGAGAAACAACGACATTACACACACCCCTGCAACAAGGCTTCATGACCCAGTAGGATGCTAACACTCAAAACAATCCTTTACACAGCAGGTCACTCAAAATTGTTATTTTTATTAAATGAATAAGTTCATTTAGTTCACCTAAAAGCCAAATCATTTTTTCTTATCCACAGCTTTCATAACACTGCCTATAAACAAATGACCACATATTTCAGTACTTTTACACAACTTAAAAAGCACTTCGATGGTCAAGAAAACTAGAGATACTGATTAGTCATGGTTAATACATCCAGACTCTATTTAGATTTTGAAGTTTAAAAATGTTATCTTTACCCAGTAGGTGAAAAGGCCAATTAGTGGCATTTCATTGTTGTGAGGGATGGGTCACACAAACGAACTGGTGACTTCCCCAGAGCATCCCTCTGACACTTTGGGGAATGCACAAGGCTGCACATTCTGCCTGGCTCCTGGTCTCGTGGAGCAGGGATCCAAATTTTTCTGAGGCACTTAGCACTTGTAATGCATTCTGAAGGGCCCCACATAATTCTGCTTAACAAGATGGATGATTTTTTTAAAGGCATGAACCACCTCTGGATGCTGAGTCAATTCATAGCATTCATATATTCTGATAACCACTTTCTCTCTTGTGGGAGGAGAGGTCAGGATTTTTAAATCTCTCAGTAAAAGCAGAAGGTTTATCTTTTCACACAGGCTGTACAATCAGAAAAGAATTTAAAAATTGAGACCTCAGAACTAAAACTTTAAGCTGGTCAGTTTTGTCCTTTGTTGTTGCCCATTTTTTAATAAATAACATGCTGAACACTCATTTTAATGAGTGTGATGTATTTAAAGACACTGATAAGAAATGTAAAATTAGAACAGTGTGTGCCTACAGTATGTTTAAATTAATGTCTCATGCTGAAATTATACTTTCCTCAGTACTACTAGAATGTCAATCAAGAAAAATTCAGGCAAAATGAGGAGAACCAGACATGTATCACCATAGTCCTCCATGGAAGGATTCTCTCAGATTTTTAAGCATCTGGTTTATCAGTGTGAATTAGGTCAGTGCACAATTTTCTTTATTTTTCCTGTCCTTAGAATCCTCAGGATGACTTTAGGGCACTCAAATCAAAAATCTAGGTGCAGTCAAAAATCTAGGTGCAGTCAAGTAAAAAGATAGCAATCTGTCTATTCTAGAGGGACCAGGACCTAAATTGCAGGAACTAAAAAACTGCAATTACCAAAATTGTCAAGTACAAGGCAGGAAAAACATAGACACCCCATTTCTTTTCTTTCCTTCATGGGATTAAGTAAAGAGATGTAAATGCCACTAGGTAACTTTGATGCATACTTAAAACTACCAACTAGTCAAGAAATGCTAAGAAATTACTGTGCTATACATGCATAGTTTTGAATAGACATCACCCAACCTTCTTGGAAAAACATTTTCCTGCTACTCAACGTCTTTAATTTTCTTCCATTACCAAATTTTCAGTACAGTAAAAATCACAATTTTATATATAAATAATGTGGAAATAAATTCTGCATTAGCAGGGAGATAGGGAAATTCAAAAGTCTTTCAACGTGTGATGTTCAGTTTATTAGTTTTACATTCCAAACCCTGGCACCGGGAAGCACAGCAGTCGTTCCTCTCCTTGCTGCAATGACTCATTTCCCTCTGTGACTGGCTGCTCCTCTCTATAGGGAAGCCTTATCTTCATGCAACACTTAAAACCACCTAAGGAGCTGCAGTACTAGAAACTTTTGAAACTTTCCAGATTCCTATTTAATTCCTTTGGATCAGAAGGTTATAGACGCTCAGCCTTCAAAAGTTGGAATACTGCCTTCAAAAGTTGGAATACTGCCTTCATAAATAGGAAAAGAACTGGATGGTGCCAGTCAAGGAGAAAGAAGTCAAGAAACCCTTCATTCACATCACCAGTTTTTATTCATCTCACCTCAGTGAAGGTGTAGCACCTGAAAGAGGTTCAAAGATCTGGAAAAAAAGGTCAGTCGGTATCACCTTTAAAACCTATCAGGCCTTTAAATTAACTGAAGATGGACACTCAACATCTCAGCTACATGGGGAATTACTAATTGTTTTTCCACTACAGTACTTCCAGGACTGTGCAAAGAAAGCAGTTGTTATCAACAGAATTAGCATGTGAACTTTGAGAAGAAATTTTAAAAGATGAAAATTCTATTGAGTGGTTTACAGTATAAAGCCAGCGCCAGGCAAGAGGGGCAGAAAAGAGAGAAGTGGTCAAAGTTTGTTTGGGCTTATCTTTTGAAAAGAAACAGACAAAAATTAAAATAACAGACAAATAATTAAAATAATTGCAAAATTAAAATAAGGGAGTATTATTGTCATCTGTTTCCCATGGACACATTCACTTCCCTGCTGATTAATTATATTAAATCCAGTGTCACAGTCTCTCACACATCTTTGTCTTAGTTCTGCTTAAACTGCATCTTTGGCCACTGTTTTAGACAGTGGAAATTTCCCTGTAATAACTTTACATCAACACAGAAATAATTTACAAAATGAACTAACAGTTATTTTCATATAAACTAATTTTATCAGAGTACTGAATATCCAGAGGAATAATTCAGGTGTATCTTCCTAGAAGAGATGTAAGTATAATAATGCTATTTAAATCTAGAAATATATTGATTATCTACTAGCATGCAGCATAGCAGAATTTAAGAAAAAATCTCAGGAAATATAACTGCAGGGAAATGACTTTAGGCTTTTCTTACATGTCACTTCCCTCTTCTTCTAAGTAAAGAACACACAGATCTTTTTTGAGTTATTATCCAGTTAAGGATTACATCTTTACCTGTTTGTTTGCCTGGTTTTACACAAATCAATAGGCCTGTTCAGATTCACCTGAAACTAGCCAAGATGTACAGGTAAAGCAAAACATACCCATGCCACCCTAAAATAATACAAGAATTGGTAAACAGAGTTGTATTAAAGATTCAATGACCTAATATCCCTTCTAAAAGACAGGAGATTTAAGAAAAGTTTAAAAACAGATAAGGCACACCACAGTCCAACTTTTGTCAGGCAAACATCTGAGATGAAGCCTTTACCATAAGCCAGCAAGTGTAGTAATCATGGCTATCTCTCCCTTTCCAGAAAGAATAGTTTATAATCCCTACAGACATACAAAACCCACAGAGAAACAAAAATAAATCATATGTGTGCTTGTTGTCAGTCATAACAACTTACTTTAATCACTAAATCTGCAGTAACTTTTTCCTGCTGTAACTTTGAGTTTAAAACCTCTCCAGTCTATTTGGGCTCCCTGAAAGGCTTTGTAAAAAATTGGCTACCTGCTTTTTTACATCAGGATTGGCCTTGCTCTTTTGGCACATGAAAAAATATCAACCCTAATCCATTTTTCTAAAGATTTAAATGTATGCTTCTTATTATACCTATTTAAATGCTTCTTTCATAACCATGGAACTCTTAATGTGTGACTGAAAATACTAGATAAACAGATTTTGTATGTCACCAACAGATGTTGCTGTGACATTTTATCCAAGTTGTTTGACCCTTAAGACATAAAAATATTCTTGTTCTCTGGCAAGCTGGGTTACCAGCTGAATTCCATTATTGATTTACATGACCTGCTACTGTAGCTGCATAGAAAATGCAAGGTTCCTCCTTGTAACAGTGCACTTCAAAAAAGACACCTCAACTCTCCAACTGCAAGTGTTTATAACCAATGCTGTTAGTCGTAACAAATTATTGCTACTACTGATTTTATTTATATTACATCACTGTGATACTCACAGATCAGGGGTGCACTTGGCATGCAACTAATAGACAGCTAGTGTGAAATCCCTGTCTAACTGTCCTAGAACTGGGATGGTAAACTGATGTAATTATAGCAGCAGGTTTTTCTTTTTCTTCCTGTTTCTATCCCTGTCACTCTTCATTTCCACAATCTCCTTCCAAAGTCCTTTTCTTCAACCTCTTAAATATCCATTTGTCCTCTACTGTCTGGTCTTGATTAAGAAGAAGGATCACACCAGTTAAATGCTGGGCAATTTCTTCCCTTTTGTTCTTATCAAATGAGAAAGACATTAGTTATGGGACCTGGGAGAGGAGCTGGGATGGTTCTGCCCTTGCTTCATTACCAGACAATTTCTTGGGAAAAGCAGGTTTACAGATTGTGCTGTTGATCCAGTGGACTGTTCTCTCCCCAAAACACATGGATCAGCAGTGAGACAGGAATATAAGAGATAGTTCCTTTGGGTCTCAGGGGGTAGGATACAGGTTGGTGACCTCCAGGAAGATAAGCCAAGCTCATCTGTCAGTGCTGCTTTTGGCAGCAGACAGCAGCAATTCAGACATGGTGTCTGTATGTCTGATCAGCCAAACATTGGCTCAGCACCCACAGTGTGCACTGCTGGAAAGGGGAGAGCAGGGCACCGGGTAAAACCCTGCTAATGGGGCTCTCCTGACCTCACTCATCTGGGGCATCTCTGCCCCTGTGCCCCAAAGAATTGCTTCTCTCATGGTGGTGTGGTTTAGGCTTGCACATGATGCCTCTCTACTCTAACTCTCTACATTCATTCCTTCATTTTTTCATTGTTTACACAACACGTTTTGGTCCTTCCCCTTCTCCCAGTCTCTTATTTGCCCCTTAAAGACAACTGCCAGAAAAGAGGTTGACACTGTTTGTATTTTGGTAGTTATAGACTGCTTATCTCCTGAGACAGAGAAGAAAAGGAGAGGATGAAACAAGGGCAAAACTTTGTGGAAACTCAATGACCTACATTATCTCACTGGATATTATTGCTCTAAAACAATTAGGAAGATTAATGTCATCAGCTCCATTTTAGGAGCTTTGACATACATGCATGCTTTAGAGTATTTCATAAAGACTAACATAGTCATCTGCTTTAAACACAGCAGACCTTTTGCAAATAATAGTTTTTTATCTCTCTGACAAGGTATAATCCACAGTGAAATATATATTTGCACGAATAGCCTTGATCCATTACGGGAAAGAAAAGGGATTTAGTCAGTAGAAAGAGTTGCAAATTTCCAATAGTAATATGCAGATTTAAGCTAAGAGGCAAATAATTTAAAAGCATTATTATAATCATCGTTAAAATGAAGAATTCTGCTTTGTCATTATATTACTTATAAGCAGGAGGGCATTTTAATAAATCACAACTCCTCCAATCTCCCTAATACTTCGATATTTCCTCCCCCATTTCTGCTGATAATGCAGTATCCAGATAATTTGTTGTGATTGTTGGTTCACTCTCCTATTATTTAAATTCCACTGTAGACTACACACAAAATCAGTTACATTGTGTACTACAACATATCTCAGAATTGAGTATTTTCTTGTAGAATTAATAAAATCCAAAAACATATATTCATATACAGTTACTTTGAAAAGCTTTTTATATCAGTTGCCTCTTTTTTCTCAGAGTATCTAAATTTATAGTCCTTAGGGTGGCTCATGAAAACCATCTTCTTGTAATCAGTAAACCAGTGGTAAAGCTCATTTCCCCAGACAACTTCTCTCCTGATGCCCTCTACTCCAAAACCTACCTCCAATGTCTCTGGATTAGATTTTGAATTATTTCCAGAACATGTATACTGAAAACATCCCAAAGTGCAGTTGGCACATTACCAGCAACAGTAAATGGTGTGAATTTCAGGGCAGGTGGTGTTATTTTACTGTCATGTTTTATAATTTTTAAACTTCACCTATGAGAGGTCCAGTCTCACTGTTAGTGTTGAGGTCTCCAGGTACTGTAGCAGGATTTTCAATAGTTCCTCATAGCAAGTGTGACATTATGCAATAGCATTGCAGATGCAGACCTTTTGCCAGCCATAGCTCTGGAAATATATCTGCAGTTTTATCAGGCAGAAACGAGCCAGTTTAAACTTGGCACCCAAAAGCATTTCTTCCCTGCCCAGCCATGGTGCTGGAGAAGTTTCCACCTGACAGCCAACCTGATCTGAGTGCTGCTGCTGCTCTGAGCACATCTGGCAGGGCAGCCCTTTCCTTCATGGTCCTTGGAAAAGCTCTTCTCACCTCCTCAAAACTCTGCTGACTCTATGAAACCAAAGAACTCTTCCCAAAGCCTTTTTGCTTTTATGCTTTTTTTTTTTTTTTTTAAAAGCATTGAACTGTATCTCTAAGTGTCTGAGGCTCCAAGGCTTATAAAATTCTTCATTCGACACCAAATTGAGACAAAATGAGAGTCTCTTCAGTGTGCTATTTCTTTTTCAGAGGGCTCTTCAGAACAAATATACCCTGATTTTTAGTTTCAAAAAAGAAGAAACTGGGTAGAGTTGCATTAATTTCATGAGAAAAGATTATTAAATTTATATTTCAGGCGTTAATACCTTTTCAAGCACTTTTGCAAGTAACAAGTTCGCGACTGAAAATGTTAAGGGTTGTATTCAAACAAAGTTTTAAAGAATAATTTGTAAAGCAGTTATTTTTGGTATTTTGGTTATGCAGTTATGTTTGGTATTATAATCAGAGGCCTTTTTTGTACACTCCTGTTTTTAATATGTCCTTATAATAAGCTAAACCAAATTTTTAGCATTCTCTCATCTGTACTGGGATCATAATAAATTTACTGGGGTGGAGAATACAGCAACTGTGATCACACAAGTGAATTGTTTTATACCTAGCACTTAAAGTAAGGACAAAATATTCTGTGTCTGTGAAGCTGAAGCAATATGGAATCACTGGAATTTTTCAGTTAAATATATGTATGGGGTTTTTATTAGATCTACAGAGGTTATTGAGTTACAGAACACAGAGCCAAACACTGTGACTACTGGGAAAAAAAGGCAGCAATAGAATCGGTGTTTATATTAGTCAAAGTGCAAAGAATGTAGACAAGGGAGAGTCATGATGGCTGAAATCACCTTTCACTTCCAAGTGAACCCTGCACAGAGAGGCTGGCACACAATAGCAGGATGATTTGGTTAATTCTGTATCACCGTGTGTAAAATTATGTAAGTTACCTTGCTGGAGAATTTAATTTATAAAAACTTTGAAGCTACAGCCATATTTACACATACAGAGACAAACAATGTGAGAAAATTATAGCCAAGAGAATTTTTCTTATGAGGATATTCTGCTTTAATTTGGTATCAGAAACAGGTATCTCCAGCCTGAATCCCTATAATAAACACCCTCTATTGCAAGAAACTAACATATCCTACCTTTTTCTGCCTTGCTCCTGTTGTGCTTTTCGAGTAGGAGGTACCGAGGACTTTCGGGAAGAAAAGGCAGAATCACGACTTGTATCAGTGATGGAACAATGATTGCTCCAAATAGGAAAGGCCACCGAGATTCCTGCAAACAGATGCAAACATGAGTCAGTAATACTCTCCCATGGTGACATTTGGAAGAAAAAGAGCTTTGATAGGAAACGTTGCAAAAATATTTTTTATATACTATTACTATCAACATTCTGCCCACCTATGGAGACTTCCATGGAATAAGCTTGCACTCCTTTCAAAGTCTCCTATAGTGTATTGTTTATAAGTTGGTCACATTTATCTCAAATAACTCTTCTTGAAAGCTTTATTTTGAAAAAGTTATGAGCAAGACTCAGAACTTACCCATCACAATAAATAACAAACCCTGCTACTATAATCAAAATTTACTTTGCCAAAATTGATTTTTGCCATATAAGACATCGAGTTTCTTATATTTTGTCTATTAAAGATTTCTGTTTGACTTTTTATCATGCTAACTTCTAAAACCTTAAGGTAAACCCATAAATACTCATAAATATGCTCCCACTTGCCATTTTAGCATGAACTGATCAGGAAGTCAATTAAGCCAATGGAAACTTCTCCATCAATTTCAAAAGATTTAATGTCTGTTCAATGTTATGGAGAGTGGGTTCTACTTGCTTTTCTCTTAATTTACACTATACAATCTTAGCTTATCTGCCTGCTACAGAAAAGAAATAGTAGGACTAATATAAGTTTTAAGAGTTCATTAAAATTGCTGGAAATCAGGCTGAACTAGACCCTATAAAGAGAACTAAGAGAAACAGGGAAAAGGAGGGTTTCATAACTTTTTAAAGAAGGGATAGAACAGGACATATACTGGGACAGTGCTCAGAAGCAGTAATAAACTAAGGGCAAAAGACAGGATAGGTGACTTAGAAAACCCTTAAAACACTTTGCCTCAATTGTCAGCAGTAAGGAGTAGCACACAGGCACTGCTGGGAGAAATGGAAACAACTATATCCCATTTTATTTCAGGAAAAACTTAAAAGAGCATTAAATGTTTTAATTACAGGGGACTTGATTTCATCACCCGCACAAAATTGCTACAAATAACATGTCAAGATAGTAAAATTTTCATTTTAAACTGTCACATTATGGTTATTTGCTTAGGCTGGAGCATAAAAAACCTGGCTTTGATGTATTTACAAAAGACAGTTAAACAGTAGAGCAAGTTTGACAACCACAGACTCATTCAAAGGTTGATGTACTAAAGTGCAAAGCTGCAGAGACAGAAGATTAGGTGGAAGGGAGGGAGATAAAATGTGGCATGGATTTATCAGCTGCAAATAAGACAAGATTATGGTGCACTGAAATACAGAAAAGAAAATGTTGCCATGTCAGAAAATCATCAGCTAAAATGCAGAAAATGAAACTTATTGTAACCATCAAAAAGTGGAAAAGAAGCTGACGTGGGGAAATGTCAACAGGCCAGCTGAACCATCCCTATCAGACTCAATAATCTATTTAAGCACTAGTTACCTTTAATATTCTCAGAAATTAGGAACATTTTGATAAAATGTGAAGACACTCTCAACACAGACCAGGTTAACAATATACACATAGATAAATTTTAAAGGGAGAACAGAATTGTTAACAGGGTCATGCAACAGAGGTGGGAAGAAGTGCTGTATTGCCCTGGATGTGGACACCGATTTTTTGAAAGATTTAGTGTGGCCAGTTAAATATCCCAGTATGAGATGGATAACAGGATCAAAAAGACTGAGTAAGGAAATATGCAACTATGACAGTCTTCACTCTCTCTGTTTCTCTCTAAATAATTTCACAGAAACAGAGAGGCATAGAATGGAAGGGACCTCTAAGATCATCTCATTCCAACACCCTGCCATGGGCAGGGACACATTCCACTGTCCCAGGTTTCTCAGTATACATCCAGCCTAGTCTTGAACACTTCCAGGGCTGGGGCATCCACAGTTTCTCTGGGAAGTCTGTCCAGTGTCTCATCACTCTCATAGTGAAGGATTTCTTCCTAACATCTATGCAAGACTTCTCTTTCAATTTAAGGAATAGATTTTATTTATTTATGTATTTATTTTAAAAACATAATCTGGACACAGACCCCACTCCCCATTTCCAGCTGAGTATCAACCACTACTGCACAGCCAGGCTCCTTGTTTGTTCTCTGCTCAGAGTTTGGGTTTCTGTGCTGTGGAGATCTCCACGTCCCATTGAGCATCCTGACCCCACAACTGCTCCTGGGCAAGCTTCCCACATCCTGTCTCCTGTCCATTCCAGAGCCACAGGGAAATGCCCATACCCCAAACACCTTCTCCTAGGCTCAGGCTGGACATGGGGTAGCACAGGGCACTCCCCAGCCCTGCTCTGCATCCCTGGCTAAGCACCACGCTGCCTCACAGATTTGCCAAGGGCTTTGCTACCTCTACTGCTTGAAACGTGCAGGAGATGGTATTAAAACAAATATTCTTTCCCCCTTTGTAGCATTTAGTGTACAGGATGAACTGTGGTCTCAGTTAGCAAGTCTTTTTACCAGTCATTATTAAATAGTCGCCCTTTAAGTATTTATTCTAAAATTAGTTCCTTGGGAATGGGGTGTGATGAGTTTACTGCAGTGCTGAACAATTTATAAACAGAAATGACCTTTTTGTATAACTTTCTCATGTAAAATGACATATTTTACCCATTTTATATGTGGGGAACAAAGAGACAAAAGCCTCTGCCATCCAATGAAAGATATTGAAAATATCCAGGAAATAGTGATTTGGTGGTGTCTTCTTTCTCATGTTTTATAAGAAGCAGGAACACTTTTAAAATTTTAGTTTGGTTAAATATAATGACACACACATACAGAAAGAAATTTCTCTAGTCTAATTTTTAGATGCCCTGAAGCATCTTGCCTCAGCTTCCTGCTGCAGCTCCAGAAGAATGCAGGTCTCTGATATTCTGTGTCACATCTGCCAGTCTCACAACAACATCTAAGGTACCTTAGAGAATGAAGATGATACTAGGTACTTATATTCAAGCAATTGAAATTTGTCCTTTCATGTAGAGACTTGGCACAAAAAGTGCATATCAGAAATATTCCATTTGCTTCTCAAAAAACCATAAATTGTATCCTTACTCAGAGCAGACTGGGTAAATTTCTTAGGCATGTAAAGCCCAGAACACTGCACAAGTTCAGCATTTCTTTGTTAATCTGCTAACATACCACATAAAACACTCTTAAAAGTAAAGTCCCCGGGGCTAGGGACTGAAAAAGCACTGAGATGGAACTAATTTCTTAGAATTAGAGCCATCTTTTCTTCCTTTAGTCAAGGGTATGGCATAGTGGTGATGACCATGAGGCAGCAGAGAAAAAAGAACTTCTACATGTCAGACTTTAGAGCAGGTACTCGGGTAAGGTGCAGAATGACTGTCTTCCTCTTACCTTCTTTGTACCACTCCAAACACTGCTCTACACCTCCTCTGGCTGCAGAGGATGCTAATCTCACACTTATATCCCTGCTGGACACAATTGTCTCTTTGCATGACCATTTCTGTAACCAAATTTGTCAAAATTTATTTCATTAACAGAGTTACAAATTGCTTACCTTCCTGTTTAAAATAGAAGCAACTCAGATAATATGTGTATTTCATCTCTGTTCTGCACCCAGATGTGCATTTTTACAGGTCACTACTACAGCTATAACTCTGACAAGAAGATTACTCAAGTATCAGTATCTTACCGGGTAATAATCAATACAGAAAGTCACCAGACTCAAGGCTGTACAAGTCTGATGTAAAATTCACAGAAATCAGCAGGACATTTTTGTTACTGAGTAAATGGCCTTTGGATGAGAACTTAAAACAGCTTTAAAAGTGTCTGGTGTCTGAGTCCCATGATTTTCTCTTCACCAAATGGCATGTTAGATCACGTACGTATTGAGAGAGAGAATTAAAGTATCTGTTACAAGTCCCCCAGATGGTTTTTAGTCCAATTTTTATTGGAGTAACAACTAACTTTTCACTGCAGACTTATATGCCATATAATTTGTCTTCATTTTTTATTCATCTCCAAGAGAAGTAACCATTTCAGAGAAAAGCAGTGGGAAATGGGAAGCTTTCACATGGGATTATTACCAGCAGCCAGCATATATAATCGAGCTTCTTTAGGAAGAAATATGAGAGGTATGCTGGAGCTAGGCAAACTTTCTGACAGACCTGCTTTTCAGTGATGCATTTAGACTCAGGTTAGCATCCATAAATAACAAAATACAAAAATAGGAAATTAAAATAATTGAGGAGGATAAGACTCAGTTTTTCACACGAGAGTATGCTATCATTCTGATGCCCTTGGGTACCTCAGATGTCCCTGTGGGACTGGCAGATGCAATAGAGATCTCCAAGACCTGCATCCTTCTGGGAATGCAGGGGGAGATGAAGAAAAGTGCTCCAGGGCATAGAAATTGCATTAGATGCAAATATTTTTTATGTGATTATATTTTGCCAAACTGAAGTTATGAAAGTTAGACTAAGGTATATCAAGGTTAAGAGAAAAATAAACATAAAAATACCCAAAGCATGTTTGCTATTTTAAAAGCAATTGAAATGCTTGAATATTTAATCTTTCTTAATTTATTTCTTTAATGAAAACAAATATGGTTTGGATTTTAAGAAAACAAAAACCAATTCATTTTAATTTGACATTTACTTCAAGTTTAAAAATATCTCTCAAAATTCTAATCAAGAATATACCTCCCATTTTTTTCATTTTTGTCAGCAGTTTCAAAAGCAATGACACTCAAGAGTAGAAAACACATCCTCCTACTCAATATGATGACTTCATGATATCTTACAGTGCTTGACCAACTCACCATAGCATTAATACCTAATTTGTAAAGGAAAAATTTACATATTAAGACATGAATTAGCAATAATGGGTGTTTTTACAATGTGTAATAGAAAGTAAAACTGAAATGTTAATCTTGAAGGTTGAGAACCTTCAAAAATGTTTAAGTGGTGGTTGTCTCCCCAGGGTGTGAAACAGACTTGGAAGGAAGTCACAGGTCGAATTGTTTTAGATTTTTCCTTAATAAC